CGAGGCCGAGGGCAGGGAGGACGATGTCAGCAGCATCATGAAGAAATATCTGGGCAAAGAGTAAGGTAAGCGTGCTAGGCAGCGATGTGGGGTGCTGGCCCTGAGGGTCGTTGGCTGTGCTGGTGCTGGGGAGTGTGTGGGGACAGGATAGCTCAGGACAGCAGGAGTCCCGGTGCTCATTTTGATGTTTCAGAGCATCCCAGGGCTGCCAGGGTGTCCCTCGGGGTGTGTGGCACTGGGATTGTTCACTCCTTGCCTTTGCACCTTTGGAGCTGCAATGGAGACACTGATGGTGCCAGGGACAGCCCCAGAGGCATCTACAGCACCAGTTCGGAATTCACTGGGGTTTCCCAAAACGAGCATCAATCAGCTGCCACCCCAGCATATGGCAGACTCATCCCCCCAAGCACTCCCTCCTCAGGGGCCCAAGTTTCTTTTGGGTGATTTTATTTCTTGGTGATTAGAAGTCAACTCAGGCTGGACACTGGGGGTTCCCTCTCTGGAGGATGGGGCTCCTACATGGCCCAGACATCCTTCCCCCAGTCCTCAGCAGCCTCCGACACCCACTTGGATGCCATGTCTGGATTGCAACTGACACTTGGAGAATTAGGATTTATTGCTGCAATCCAGGTTTGAAAGCAGAGTCCCTAATGAATGCGCCACAACTGTAATTAAGTGTTTAAAATAGATTAGAAAAACATTTTGTAAAACCATTGCCTTTAGAGTAACTTATTGGATGTCAAGCTGTGACCAAATTGACTAAGCCAACACGCGAAGGGAGCGCATGTTAATAAAACATTTCTTTCCAGGAAGCAAATTTGCATAATGCAACGTCCCAATTTCTGCAGGATCCGATTCCATCGAGCCCCAACCTGCAGTGACGAGAAGCCACGTTGAGCAGCATCCCTGCTCCTGGCAGAACCACCTCACGTGAGCAGAGACTGCAAAAGGCTCCACAGAAGTCATGGGATGGTTCTACAAACTTATTTTGGTCCTGGACATACCGTGGTTTCCTCATGCTCCTGCCCCGTTTCCCAGCTTTGCTCAGGGCCAGCCGCGGGGAAAAGGACTTTCCTGTTCTCCTGCAGTTGTTTGACTTGGGAGTTGGTGCTTAAATTCAACCCCAGCGGCTGCCACAGATGCTGAGGATGTGCCATGGCCTGGGAAAGCTGCTTTGAGAGGAGCTGGGGGGACACCAAACCCCTCCTTTGTAACCCAGAGCTGCAGCCCAGGTGTCTCATCCCACGCTGCACTGCCCAAAAATGCAGCTAATCCTGAGTATGCTCTTGGGTCTCAGTGTGACACCCAGCAACAGCAGAGCTCTGAAACTTATATAATTCCACAGGTATTTGATGGATCCATCTGTGTTTCCATGGCTGCAGCCTGTGGGGGACACCTGGGCACATCCCAGAGGCTTGCAAGGCACTTGGGTGATGGAGGGGCTCTATTTAATGTCTGCTTGGTTTTTACAATAAAATATTTGCTTCTTTGACATGCAGGTCCCTTCTGGTTATTCCTTTCCCCACAGTAGGTTCAGGTCTGTGGAAATTGTGCAGTGCAGAGCTGAGCACCTCCTTCCACAAAAATCCCTCTTTTCTCAGCCTCCCCCTTCTTTCCTAGAAGAGATCCAAACTTATTCCTTGATCAGAGCTTTGGGGCAAAAGGATGCACAATGTCCATGCACAAATCTCTCCCCTCCATCACGGATTTCCAAGCCATTTGCTTGGCTAGGAAATTTCCACCAATTTGCACATTCTTCTGGGACCCCTGTGGGACAGCCACAGGGCAGTGGCAGCTTGAAAGGCCGGTTGGGCACTGTTCAGCATTTTGTTTTGCCTGTTGTATTCTTCACCTTCACTTCTCATTTAAGGCAGGGCCTTGCAGCAAGCAGCACTTCCCTTGTCAGCGATGGATGAGGGCTCACATCAGCGCTTTGCTCAGCAATTCCCGGCCGTTCCCGGCGGCTCCGCAGGGCTGGCAGCCTGGCAGGGGGCAGGGTGACATTCCTCCTGCTCCCACGTGTCCCTTTCGGGACATGTGCCTCATGCAAGAAGGCAGCAGATGAAGAAATTGCCTCTAATTAGTGTTAAATTGGTCTTTTTTTAAAAACGATTCCCCTATTTCTGGGAGGAAAAAAGCAAGTGCTTTTCGCTTTGCAGGGAGCATTGCTCCCCAGAGGGATTTCACAGAAGCAGGGAATCACAGAAGGGTTTGGGTGGGAAGAGACCTTAAAAATCATCCAGTTCTTCCCCCTGCTATGTGCAGGGACAGCTTCCACTATCTCAGGTTCCTCCAAGCCTCATCCAGCCTGGCCTTGGACACTTCAGAGGATGGGGCAGCCACAGCTTCTCTGGGCACCCTGTGCCAGGGCCTCACCACGCTCACAGGGAAGGAATTTCCTCCCAATATCCCATCCATCCCTGCCCTCTGGCAGTGGGAAGCCATCCTCCCATGTCTTGTCCCTCCATCCCTTGTCTCAAGTCACTTTTGAGCTCTCCTGGAGCCCCTTTAGGCTCTGGAAGGGCTCTGAGCTCTCCCTGGAGCCTTCTCTTCCCCAGCTCCCCCATCCTGGCTCCTCTGTCTGCCCCAAGCCAGCTGGTGGCACCTGAGGGGAGGGACAGCAGTGGCACCTGGAGAAGGGACACCCAGGAGCAGGAATCCAGTGCTGTCCCACCTTTGGCCTCTGAAGTCCAACTCACAACCACCCACTGGCCGAGGCGTCGCTTTGCAGCTCGTTTTTATTCTCATCTCCAAACGTGACACAAATTGCTCATTATTTGTGGCTGTGGCAAAATGTTTCTTCTGACACAAAGCCTTTGATTTGGAATTACTACAGTGTTGGCTTTGCTGGAAATTAAGCTGTTCCTATTTCAACTTGCGGGAGAGAAGCAGATTTGTGTGTAATACGCTGACTTCTTTCTTTTCCTTTTGCTTTGCAGGACACAAAGGAAATTGCTCTGTCACTTGGAATGGCTGTGCACATCCTTTAATGACAAACCAGGACAAAAACGATGCTTGGCCTGGAGCGTTGCAGGCTCAGTCCAGAGAATTATTTGCCCTTGGAACAGCCAGAGAGCAAAGCTCATGGATGGTGAGACCAAGCCATCCATCAGTGCTAGCTGGTGGAAAATACGGTGTGTGCACAGCACAGGGGGGGAAACTCTGGTTCCTGCTCCCCCTGGGAGGCTCAGGAGACACAAAACTGATGGCTGAGCCAGCCAGGAGCAGGACCACGGCCATTTATAGCCTGGAGTGGGAGGACAGGAGTTCTTCCCATTGCCCCTGTATTTTAGCACGTTTCACCTGCTCTCAGCACAAGAGCTTGGCCCTGTGCTGGGGAAGATGAAACAGGAAAGTCTTATAAATATGATGGTCTGGCAAAAGATTTTGAGAATATAGAAACTATAAGGGAGATTAAAATGAAAGCAAGCTTTGAGATACTTCAGTTACTGCACAACTGGAAAACAGTGGTGTGGCCAGCTGAAGGTAATCTCCTTTGGATGAGACAACACACTCTGCTTGCAGACAGCTCCCAAGGGTCAGAGCAGACCCTACAGCTTGGCAGAAGGGGCCCAAAGAGGAGTTTTTAGGGTTTAAAATGTAACACAGTATGGTAATGTAATGATTCTTATAGGCTGTATGGAAATGCCATATGATTTGTATATTGTACTAGATTGGTTTGTGAGAATCAGAATATTCTGAGCTGGGCGAGCTTGGCTGGCATTCCCAGTCCCTGCTGAGCTGGGTACCAGGGCTGGAAACCTCCCTGGTCTCCCCATCACCCCCCTGAACCCAAGCACTTTGCAGGAGCTGAGCATCAAGGAGATCATAGGATTCCTGAGTTGGAGGGGACCGACAGGGATGATGGATCCAGCTCCTGGTCCTGCACCAGACCACCCTGAGAATCCCACCACGTGCCTGAGGTGCTCTGTGGCCTCCTCCAAAGCTCTCAGAGCAATCAGGCGACTCCATTTAGTGCATTTCCAAACAATTAGCTGGTTCTGTGAGCCTTTTTTCCCACAAATAAGCTGCTTTTCCCAGCTCCTGTATCTGTG